ATCACGAGGATGTGCCATGAAGTTGACCCAGGATGGAGCTGAATGTAACTGGTCCTACCATGTGGTACCCAGGCATCCCAGATTTTTTGTATACTGCGCACACCCATTCTCCCATGTCTAGGTGACTCAGGCCTATAACGCTAATTTTGAACGAATGAAAAACAAAATGTATATATACATTTGGGGCGCTACGCGCGTGAACGTATATATACGTTTGGACCGTTTAAGGGTTAAATGTCATACATATTTTGTACAGGTTTGGTAGCTGACATTTAGACCACTCCAGAGCGATTATTATTATTATTATTATTTTTTATTTATTTTTTTTTTATTATCACACTGGCCGATTCCCACCAAGGCAGGGTGGCCCGAAAAAGAAAAACTTTCACCATCATTCACTCCATCACTGTCTTGCCAGAAGGGTGCTTTACACTACAGTTTTTAAACTGCAACTTAACACCCTCCTTCAGGTGGGGCCTGTCTTCCCATCTCCGGGACCAAGTCCCCCCGCCGTTTCCTGAACCCCTTCAAAATTTTACTTTGCTCACCCCCCCCCCAAACACACTTTTTCAAGTTTTAAAAAACCTTTTGTCCCCTTTCACCCTATCAAAACCTCCAATTTACCCCGCTGGAATTTTCCCGCCCCCCGCACACAAAACCCCCTTTACCCCCCCCCCTCCAAACCCTTTTCCCAGGCCCCCGACCCCTACCCTGCCTTCCTTCCACACAGACTGATACACCTTGAAATTATTCTGTTTCGTCCATTCTCTTTCCCCATGCCGAACCACCTCAACAACCCTTTCCCCAGCCCTTGGACAACAGTTTTGGGAACCCCCCCCCCTCCTCCTAATTCCAAACACGCATTTTCCTGCATTATATCACACCCCCCATTCTTCCCGACATGACATCCCATGCCTCCCGCCTTCTCCTCGTGCAACTTCATCAAAACCCGCTTTACACCCATTAAAGCGTTGGAAAAATTACTCTCATACATTCCCCTCTTTTCCTCCAAGGACAAAATTCTTTTCTCCACAATCCTAAGTGCACCCCTCACCCTTTTCCCCCCACAATTTTATGATTCACTCATCTTTCATAAACCCATCCTGAACGTCCACTCCCAAAATATCTGAATACTTCACCTCCTCCATACTCCTCCCCCCAATCTGATATCCTCTTTCTCCCTAATCTTTTTTTTATCCTCATAACCCTTCTCTTTCCTGATTCACTTTCAATTTTCTTCTTTTGCACACCCTACCAAATTCATCCACCAATCTCTGCAACTTCTCTTCAGAATCTCCCAAGAGCACAGTGTCATCAGCAAAGAGCAACTGTGACAACTCCCACTTTATGTGTGATTCTTTATTTAACTCCACGCCTCTTGCCAAGACCCTCACATTTACTTCTCTTACAACCCCATTTATAAATATATTAAACAACCCGGTGACATCACACATCCTTGTCTAAGGCCTACTTTTACTGGGAAATAATTTCCCTCTTTCCTACATACTCTAACTTGAGCCTCACTATCCTCGTAAAAACTCTTCACTGCTTTCAGTAACCTACCTCCTACACCATACACCTGCAACATCTGCCACATTGCCCCCCTATCCACCCTGTCATATGCCTTTTCCAAATCATAAATGCCACAAAAACCTCTTTAGCCTTATCTAAATACTGTTCACTTATATGTTTCACTGTAAACACCTGTCCACACACCCCCTACCTTTCCTAAAGCCTCCTTGTTCATCTGCTATCCTATTCTCCGTCTTACTCTTAATTCTTTCAATAATGACTCTACCATACACTTTGCCAGGTATACTCAACAGACTTATCCGCCTATAATTTTTTGCACTCTCTTTTATCCCCTTTGCCTTTATACAAAGGAACTATGCATGCTCTCTGCCAATCCCTAGGTACCTTACCCTCTTCCATACATTTATTAAATAATTGCACCAACCACTCCAAAACTATATCCCCACCTGCTTTTAACATTTCTGTCTTTATCCCATCAATCCCGGCTTGCCTTACCCCTTTCATTTTACCTACTGCCTCACGAACTTCCCCCACACTCACAACTGGCTCTTCCCCCACTCCTACAAGATGTTGTTCCTCCTTGCCCTATACACGAAATCACAGCTTCCCTATCTTCATCAACATTAACAATTCCTCAAAATATTCCCTCCATCTTCCCAATACCTCTAACTCTCCATTTAATATCTCTCCTCTCCTATTTTTAACTGACAAATCCATTTGTTCTCTAGGCTTTCTTAACTTGTTAATCTCACTCCAAAATTTTTTCTTATTTCAACAAAATTTGTTGATAACATCTCACCCACTCTCTCATTTGCTCTCTTTTTACATTGCTTCAACCACTCTCTTAACCTCTCTCTTTTTCTCCATATATTCTTCCCTCCTTGCATCACTTCTACTTTGTAAAAACTTCTCATATGCTAACTTTTTCTCCCTTACTACTCTCTTCACATCATCATTCCACCAATCGCTCCTCTTCCGTCCCGCACCCACTTTCCTGTAACCACAAACTTCTGCTGAACACTCTAACACTACATTTTTAAACCTACCCCCATACCTCTTCGACCCCATTGCCTATGCTCTCATTAGCCCATCTATCCTCCAATAGCTGTTTATATCTTACCCTAACTGCCTCCTCTTTTAGTTTATAAACCTTCACCTCTCTCTTCCCTGATGCTTCTATTCTCCTTGTATCCCATCTACCTTTTACTCTCAGTGTAGCTACAACTAGAAAGTGATCTGATATATCTGTGGCCCCTCTATAAACATGTACATCCTGAAGTCTACTCAACAGTCTTTTATCTACCAATACATAATCCAACAAACTACTGTCATTTTGCCCTACATCATATCTTGTATACTTATTTATCCTCTTTTTCTTAAAATATGTATTACCTATAACTAAACCCCTTTCTATACAAAGTTCATTATTATTATTATCCACATACCTTGTTCACTGAGTTTAATTGTTTATTAAGCTGCCACAAGAGACACAGAGAATGTAATAATAATAATGTAATAGTAATACTAATAATTAATAATAATAATTGATAATAATAACAATCACTCTGGAGTGCTTTAATCCTTTCAGGGTTTCCGAAGTACTAGTACGGCTTACACACCAGGGTTATTGACGTTCTAGTATGCCTAAATTCTAGCGCCTTCAAATCTAGTGAGAGAAAGCTGGTAGGCCTACATATGAAAGAATGGGTCTATGTGGTAAGTGTGCACAGTATAAAAAAAATCCTGCAGCACACAGTACATAATGAGAAAAAAAAAACATGCAAGGCGTCCAATACACGTCAACTGGTGAGTCTAATATTCTTTCACAAGTGCACTGATATTATTTATATCATTTCTACACTAATGCAGTAGTCTGCATAACAGTAAATATTCTACTTTTTTTGAGAATAAAAATTCAAAGTGAAAAGCAAAAGAGATGTAAGAGGGGCCTGGGGACGTGATTAATGAACAGAGAAAATGTTATTTTAGTGCCAGGAATGTCTGTCTTCTTTATTCTGGACTCTATTTGGAAATTGGCATCTTCTGAAATTTGTGTGAAATTGGCAAAATTGCCAATTTCTGACCACTTTACTGGAAGTTGAAATTGGTAAATGGGTGGTTTCTTGTACTCATTGATAGAAAAAATGGAGTTCTAGTGAAATAGATATGATTTTTGTCGACTAGTGCACTGGAATTGGCCGAAAATAGGGCTCAAAGTGGGCAAAATCGCTGATGCGTAAACATCGTTGAGACCACTAACTTCGTGAGAGCAGAATTCCGTAAGTTTTCCATCAAATTTCATACTTTTGGTGTTATTATGATCAGGAAAAGATTCTCTATCATTTCATAAGAATAAAAAATAATTTTTTTCCGAAAAATTTTCGACCCTGAGAACGAGTTTAGGAGAGGGCCTCTTGACCCTGAAAGGGTTAAATGTCAGCTACCAAGAGTACGTGAAATATGTTTGACATTGAAAGCGCCCCAGAGTGATTACAATAGATCGTTGTTTAACACGGTTTTGTCTGGCACATTTTGGTTATAGCATGATTGAAGAATTGCAGCATGTTTTTGTTTAACACTTGGTAAAATTAATTTAACACAGTTGCAGGAGGGGAAAAATTTTGAGTGCACGTTCGCCCACAGGGCAGTATGAGCTTCCGCCATCCCCACCAGCATCAGCCACCCCCACCACCCTCTCAACTTTCAGTTCGGTTCATATGTGCGTTGGACGAACCTGTGCCAGTAGCTCGCTATGTTTGTTTAGATATGTATTACAGTGGACCCCTGACATTCGATATTAATCCGTTCCTGAGAGCCATCGAATGTCGAAAATATCGAAAGTCGAATTAATTTTCCCCATAAGAAATAATGGAAATCAAATTAATCCGTGCAAGACACCCAAAAGTATGAAAAAAAAATTTTTACCACATGAAATATTAAGTTTAATGCAATAGAATAATTACAATAACAACAATAACAATAGATTAATAACAATAGAATAATTGACACTTACCTTTAATGAAGATCTGGTGATGATTGATGGGATGGGAGGTGGGGAGAGTGTGGATGGTGTTAGTGTTTAGAAGGGGAATCCCCTTCCATTAGGACTTGAACTGGCAGCCTCACCATGCCTTACCACACTGTGTATGCCACTACGATTCTTAAATCTTTCAAACCAACCTTTGTCTGTCTATTTGTCTCTGTCAAGCTCCCTGTCTATCCATCTAGCTCTCTGTCTCAGAGAGAGCCACAAGACTGTGTCATCATCACGTTTACTCACATCTTCAAGCAGAGTATAGCACTTTGTCTGGATTTCTTGGGTTACCCTAGGTAATTTACACTATGTATACTTGTATTTATGTGTACCTGTGAGACAGAGATAGACAGACAGATAGAATGAGAGACAGATTGAGATAGAATAAGGGAGAAAGATAATTAGAATGGAGGGGAAGCAGCATCCGGCCCCATTGAGTAATGAGACAGTATGTCATTTTGACAGCTGCCAACTCCTGACTCACAACAATTATAAGCCAACCTTTGCTGCGGAGGTGTTCTTGGTGGCCCGGTGGCCTGGTGGCTAAAGCTCCCGCTTCACACACGGAGGGCCCGGGTTCGATTCCCGGGGGGTGGAAACATTTCGACACGTTTCCTTACACCTGTTGTCCTGTTCACCTAGCAGCAAATAGGTACCTGGGTGTTAGTCGACTGGTGTGGGTCGCATCCTGGGGGACAAGATTAAGGACCCCAATGGAAATAAGTTAGACAGTCCTCGATGACGCACTGACTTTCTTGGGTTATCCTGGGTGGCTAACCCTCCGGGGTTAAAAATCCGAACGAACTCTTATCTTATCTTATCTTAAATTCACTCATCAACACTAGTTGCAGGCAATTTCTTTACCAAATCACCATGCACTCCGACACACGCACTCCACTTTCGTACTTTGCAATTATCTCTTTCTTCATTTCAATAGTTATTAGCACCTTTTTTCTCAAAGGGTTGGCACTAGAAGCTTTCTTGGGGCCCATGGTTACTTATTTTGCAGACACAAGCACCAAAAACAGTGATAATATGGATAATATGGAATGTACCGAATGTATCCTTAGATGTGCGCACACTGGCTGGCTTGTAAACACTAGCATACACGGGGCAGTTCAGGCCACACGTAGACACGTCTCGTATGAATCGTATCAAATGTTGGGTTTTCCATCGAATGTCGAGGCAAAATTTTTGCGTTAAAATGCATCGAATGTCGGATTTATCAAATGTCGATGCCATCAAATGTCGGGGGTCCACTGTAATTGCCAAATCTTAAATCTGCCAAGCAATCATGGCACCTAGTAGGCATACAAGTGTTGCTGAAAGTTTCAAGAAAAGGTTTGAGCATTTAATTCTTAGAATTAATGAAGACAATAGAGATATTAGACAAGAGATAGCCTCTAGCCGGAATGAAGCGTCATTTTATACACAAAAAGAATGAGGTAAATATGAGTTTGTGTGATGACTGACTGACTTACTGACTGACTTGACTGACTGACTGACTTGACTGACTGAATGACTTGACTAACTGAATGACTTGACTGACTTACTGAATGTCTTGACAGACTGAATGACTTGACTGATTGAATGACTTGACTAACTTACTGACTGAATGACTTGATTGATTGAATGACTAGACTGACTTGACTAAATAACATACTGATTTGACTGACTGAAAGACTTGGCTAACTGAATGACTTGACTTACTGAATGATTTGACTGACTTACTGATGTGACTGAATGACTTACTAACTAACTTGACTGACTTACTGACTGACTTGACTGACTGAATGACTTAGAGTTAGACTTTTTCACTGAAGAGGATCCTGAAATAGTGTCTAGAGCAGCTGATGCCTTACCATCAGATGTATAATGTACTGTAGAGTAAAATAGAACAGAAATCCCTTACAGAATTTATGCACACTCTAGTACAGTGGACCCACGGCTTACGATATTATTTCTTTCCAGAAGTATGTTCAGGTGCCATTGCTGAACGAATTTGTACCCATAAGGAATATTGTGAATTAGATTAGTCCATTTCAGACCCCCAAACATACACGTACAAATGCACTTACATAAATACACTTACATAATTGGTCGCATTGGGAGCTGATCGTAAAGCGGGAGTCCACTGTACATCCATCGACTTTTGTACCAGTACCTCTACCATCCACTTTAGCCAAGCAGGACCACAGCATATCTCTCCGCTCTCTTCATAATCATCCACAAACACCAGCACCCACAATTTAAGGTAAGAAACACTATTATTTCTGTTGCAGTTGTAATCTTATGCAGAAAAAACAACATAATACATCATGACAATGAACTACAGTTACATATTCACTTTTATTTTTGTAAAATCTGTTGGTCTAAAACAAAGTTGTTTGGCTTTTTGGGGGCTCCCAGGAACTTAACCCTATTTTTCCCATAAGTTCTTAAGTTTGTCTAACACAGTTTTGCCTAACGGCATTTTCAGGAACCTAACTACAGTACTGTGTTAAATGATGGTCTACTGTAATTATGTTTTATTATTAATTATATTTTATTGTTATTATTATTATCACCATTGACATATCTTTTTCACTGAGTTCAATCATTTTATAATTAACCCTTTGACTGTCGCAGGCCCATTTCTGAAACTGTCATTCTATGTTGCAAAATATTCGAAAACAAAAAAATTATTTTTTCTTATGAAAATGTTAAGATTATTTTTCTGAATGTTTTAGTCCCAAAAAAAATTTTTTTTGCAATCAGTACTTGCCGAGATATAGAGCTGTGAAGTTTGCAGAAAATGAGCCGCATATGGCAACAGCGGCGACTGCCGCTCACCCGGTAAACTTTAGTTTACTTGTATTTGAAGGTTTTTTGTTTTTTTCACTATTTTATTTTTTCACATAACTTATGTGGCCTATGAGACGAAAGTAAGGTGCAATGTACATATATACACTCGTTGTATACAACACAATAAGCACACAAACATAATTATCAATATATTGTTTACAAAACTTGTTTACAAAAACAAACAATACAAATTTTTTTTTATTACTATTGTTCTATAATATATATACCAATGTACAGTCACCGAACATATTCCTAGAAGTTCTGCAGCTTGTGGAACTCTTTGAAACATGTTTTCATACACAATGGTGTTTTACACTCCTCACACATAAAACCAGTGTGTGTGCATTTTTGTGGATTTTTTTTTATGTGCAAAGACAAAACACCTCGTCTGAGCAGTTTTCTTCAAAGTATTAGCAGGCAGTAGTGTTATGTAGTTATCCTAGGTAAATGGTCGTGTGTCATCATTCCTTCCTTCCTACTTTCCTGCATTCCTTTCCTGCATTCCTTTCCTTCATTCCTTTCCTGCATTCCTTTCCTTCATTCCTTTCCTTCATTCCTTTCCTGCATTCCTTTCCTTCATTCCTTTCCTGCATTCCTTTCCTTCATTCCTTTCCTTCCTTTCCTTCATTCCTTTCCTGCATTCCTTTCCTGCATTCCTTTCCTTCATTCCTTTCCTGCATTCCTTTCCTTCATTCCTTTCCTTCATTCCTTTCCTGCATTCCTTTCCTTCCTTTCCTTCATTCCTTTCCTGCATTCCTTTCCTTCATTCCTTTCCTTCATTCCTTTCCTTCATTCCTTTCCTGCATTCTTTTCCTTCATTCCTTTCCTGCATTCCTTTCCTGCATTCCTTTCCTGCATTCCTTTCCTTCATTCCTTTCCTGCATTCCTTTCCTGCATTCCTTTCCTGCATTCCTTTCCTTCATTCCTTTCCTGCATTCCTTTCCTTCATTCCTTTCCTGCATTCCTTTCCTTCATTCCTTTCCTGCATTCCTTTCCTTCATTCCTTTCCTTCCTTTCCTTCATTCCTTTCCTGCATTCCTTTCCTTCATTCCTTTCCTGCATTCCTTTCCTTCATTCCTTTCCTTCCTTTCCTTCATTCCTTTCCTGCATTCCTTTCCTTCATTCCTTTCCTGCATTCCTTTCCTTCATTCCTTTCCTTCATTCCTTTCCTGCATTCCTTTCCTTCCTTTCCTTCATTCCTTTCCTTCCTTTCCTTCATTCCTTTCCTGCATTCCTTTCCTTCATTCCTTTCCTGCATTCTTTTCCTTCATTCCTTTCCTGCATTCCTTTCCTGCATTCCTTTCCTGCATTCCTTTCCTTCATTCCTTTCCTGCATTCCTTTCCTTCATTCCTTTCCTTCATTCCTTTCCTGCATTCCTTTCCTTCATTCCTTTCCTGCATTCCTTTCCTTCATTCCTTTCCTGCATTCGTTTCCTTCATTCCTTTCCTTCCTTTCCTTCATTCCTTTCCTGCATTCCTTTCCTTCATTCCTTTCCTGCATTCCTTTCCTTCATTCCTTTCCTGCATTCCTTTCCTTCATTCCTTTCCTGCATTCCTTTCCTTCATTCCTTTCCTTCCTTTCCTTCATTCCTTTCCTGCATTCCTTTCCTGCATTCCTTTCCTTCATTCCTTTCCTGCATTCCTTTCCTTCATTCCTTTCCTTCATTCCTTTCCTGCATTCCTTTCCTTCATTCCTTTCCTTCCTTTCCTTCATTCCTTTCCTGCATTCCTTTCCTTCATTCCTTTCCTGCATTCCTTCATTCCTTTCCTTCATTCCTTTCCTTCATTCCTTTCCTGCATTCTTTTCCTTCATTCCTTTCCTGCATTCCTTTCTTGCATTCCTTTCCTGCATTCCTTTCCTTCATTCCTTTCCTTCATTCCTTTCCTGCATTCCTTTCCTTCATTCCTTTCCTGCATTCCTTTCCTTCATTCCTTTCCTTCATTCTTTTCCTTCATTCCTTTCCTGCATTCCTTTCCTGCATTCCTTTCCTACATCTCTTCCTACATTCCTTCTTCTGTCCTTTCCTACATCTCTTCCTACATTCCTTCTTCTGTCCTTTCCTACATCTCTTCCTACATTCCTTCTTCTGTCCTTACTTTTTTCCTTCTTTTCATCTCGTCCTTCCTTCATTCCTGCCTTCCCTTCTTGCTTCTGGTTTCTATAATATATATACACATATATAGTCACTAGATACTTTCATATAACTGCTATTATCTTCATTCATCAAGCTTGTCTTGTGTGTGAGTGTGTGGCTTATAATTGTTGTGAGTCAGGAGTTGGCAGCTGTCAAAATGACATACTGTCTCATTACTCAATGGGGCCGGATGCTGCTTCCCCTCCATTCTAATTATCTTTCTCCCTTATTCTATCTCAATCTGTCTCTCATTCTATCTGTCTGTCTATCTCTGTCTCACAGGTACACATAAATACAAGTATACATAGTGTAAATTACCTAGGATAACCCAAGAAATCCAGACAAAGTGCTATACTCTGCTTGAAGATGTGAGTAAACGTGATGATGACACAGTCTTGTGGCTCTCTCTGAGACAGAGAGCTAGACGGATAGACAGGGAGCTTGACAGAGACAAATAGACAGACAAATGTTTGTGTACCAGCAAAAACAGAGGGAGGGGGGATGGTCATCTAATCTTTTGTTATCAGCTGCACCCTCCCTCCACCCTCGTTTACGCTCATCAAACGTCAGCTCTTATCAGATGTTATCTCCCCTTATCTTGTCACTGTCATGGGTGAATTGTCTTCCATGCTTCAAGGGAACACATTATTATTCTTCCTCTTCTTCTTCCTCTTCTTTTTCCTCCTCTTCTTCTTCCTCCTCCTCCTCCTCTTCTTCCTCCTCCTCCTCCTCCTCCTCTTCATCCTCCTCCTCCTCTTCTTCCTCAGGTTCACCAACTACATATATATTTGTGTTTTTTTATATTCATTGTTATTTTATGTCTAGGGTTACTAATTGCATGTGTATGAGATCCTATATAATAATAAGTGGATAACTTAACCCCTGCAACATTCCACAAGATCAGTTTTAGTCCAATGTGGGAAATATCACCCAGAAGACCACCACCTGTAAAGTTATCATGGCAAATTGCACCATATAGGGTATGCCAAAACATAGCATATGCCAGTAACTATAGCAAAATATGTTTAATATGCCAGTAACTATAGCAAAATATGTTTAATATGCCAGTAACTATAGCAAAATATGTTTAATATGCCAGTAACTATAGCAAAATATGTTTAATATGCCAGTAACTATAGCAAAATATGTTTAATATGCCAGTAACTATAGCAAAATATGTTTAATATGCCAGTAACTATAGCAAAATATATTTAACCCTTAAACGGTCCAAACGTATATATACGTTCACGCGTGTAGCGCCCCAAACGTATATATACGTTTTCTTTGTCATTCATTCAACATTGCCACAATAAGCCTGAGTCACCTAGACATGAGAGAATGGGTGTGTGCACTCACTGTGTTCCATGTTAAAATAATTGGGGATGCCTGGGTACCATATGCTCTTTTTTCCTTTTAAAAGAAAAGATTTTTTTTTTTCCTCAAAAAATTTGGGGCGCTACACGAGTGAATGTATATATACGTTTGGACCGTTTAAGGGTTAATATGCCAGTAACTATAGCAAAATATGTTTATTATTAACAGTTTTTTTAAGGTAGGTACATAAAATTAGACTGGTGAGCCATGTTACTTCTCGTGGCACAAATGGTATTCATTATAGTACCAATTAATAAGGACTGAATTGAAAGTCTTGCCAGGGGGTTCTTGGGCCTCATATTACATGGCTGCTCTCAAAAAATACAGTTATTCATTCCCTTGCTTTCTCAGTTTCCTTCCCATTGTTGATACACAACAGCAACCTCTAGGAATACCCCTGAACATCAACAACAGCCAGAATACCTCTTATCTTCTGGATACTCCAAGAACTTATCCAGCAAAGCACACAACCACTTGCTTCCAGCCATGTTGGTCGGGGAGAAAGTCGGGGTGGGTTTGCAAAACTCACAGTCTCACAGAAAAAGAAATGAGTATCTCTGTGTTAAAATAAACTAATGTATTATTACACTATACATATGGGGATTACCAATAGACCCATATCTGTCTTCAAGAGGGAACTGGACATCCAGGACATCCAGTTTCTTTTCATTCATAATGTTTTTACTCAATATTTTATGCCAGATAAATGGTTTTGAAATTGGTAAAAATTTTCTGCTGCTGTATAAGAGTTTACAGTATTATAACTCTTCCCTCACTACACAGGTCAAGGGTGAAACTTCTTCCTGACAAACAAGAAAGAGAGTAGTTTTGGCAGTCAGCAGGCTGAAGGCTACTTCAAATGTGGTTTTGCTGTAGTTTCCTCAGGAATAGGTAAATACTGTAGAGTACCTAGATTTAAAACTAAAAAATAATTGCTTTTTTCTCTTCAAAGTAATCTATACCGAATGGTATCGACTCTTTTGCTGGCCATCACATAGAACTACAGCAATGAGGCCAGGGTCTGTCAAGTAATTCTATGTCATGAGCTCAGCTTGATAAGCTGTGAGTGGTAATTTTTGCCTAGATATGAGACAGTTGGTCTCTATGGTGAGTATGCACCATAAAAAAAAAATCCTTGCCCATGCAGTGAATGATGGGAAAAGCAAAGCTGTGATCATGTGTAAGGTTCTGCCTTTTATCTTCTGGCTGGCCAACACTCTCATTCTTTTTCTTGTATCTCATTATGGGCTTAGTGCTTAGTTTTGATTATAATAGTGTATCTTCTCTGTGTATCTTGTTCTTTGCTGATGACACTGTGCTCTTGGGAGATTCTGAAGAGAAGTTGCAGAGATTGGTGGATGAATTTGGTAGGGTGTGCAAAAGAAGAAAATTGAAAGTGAATACAGGAAAGAGTAAGGTTATGAGGATAACAAAAAGATTAGGTGATGAAAGATTGGATATCAGATTGGAGGGAGAGAGTATGGAGGAGGTGAATGTATTCAGATATTTGGGAGTGGACGTGTCAGCGGATGGGTCTATGAAAGTGAGGTGAATCATAGAATTGATGAGGGGAAAAGGGTGAGCGGTGCACTTAGGAGTCTGTGGAGACAAAGAACTTTGTCCTTGGAGGCAAAGAGGGGAATGTATGAGAGTATAGTTTTACCAACGCTCTTATATGGGTGTGAAGCATGGATGATGAATGTTGCAGCGAGGAGAATGGCTGGAGGCGTGGAGATGTCTGTCTGAGAGCAATGTGTGGTGTGAATATTAATGCAGAGAATTCGTAGTTTGGAAGTTAGGAGGAGGTGCGGGATTACCAAAACTGTTGTCCAGAGGGCTGAGGAAGGGTTGTTGAGGTGGTTCGGACATGTGGAGAGAATGGAGCGAAACAGAATAACTTCAAGAGTGTATCAGTCTGTAGTGGAAGGAAGGCGGGGTTAGGGGTCGGCCTAGGAAAGGTTGGAGGGAGGGGGTAAAGGAGGTTTTGTGTACGAGGAGCTTGGACTTCCAGCAGGCATGCATGAGCGTGTTTGATAGGAGTGAATGGAGACAAATGGTTTTTAATACTTGATGTGCTGTTGGAGTGTGAGCCAAAGTAACATTTATGAAGGGGTTCAGGGAAACCGGCAGGCCGGACTTGAGTCCTGGAGATGGGAAGTACAGTGCCTGCACTCTGAAGGAGGGGTGTTAATGTTGCAGTTTAAAAACTGTAGTGTACAGCACCCTTCTGGCAAGACAGTGATGGAGTGAATGATGGTGAAAGTTTTTCTTTTTCGGGCCACCCTGCCTTGGTGGGAATCGCCCAGTGTGATAATAATAATAATAATAATAATAATAATCTTCTCTGCTCTCAGTTTTTTTAATCTTAGGGCCAGTAAAGAAATATTTCATCTGTATACTCACTGATGTCTTTCTTGATCTTGCTCACATTTGTGTGAACTCCAACCTTTTTTTTCCATTCAAGGTAAATTTTATTCCCAAACCTTTGGTGTTGCTGTGGGCTTTCCTCTGTCCCATCTTCTTCCTAATGCATTCCAGAGAGCTTGCCTTTTACTGATTTTGTCTTTAGCCAAATTAATTTTCCCCTTAAGAAATAATGGAAATCCAATTAATCCATTTCATACAGCCAAAGTATTAACAAAAAATATTTTTTTTAAAGATTAAATATAGATATACATACAGAAAACAATGACAAATATAAAGCACTAATAAAAAGGATTAAAAAGAACATTTAACAAACGCCCTTTAAATTTGGGGCCCTTTTTTTTTTGTATGGAAGAAGGGAGGAGGGGGGGGAGACGAGTTTTTTTTATTCTTTAATTTTTGGAATTTAAAATCTCTAAAGCTTATTTATTTTATCACAATTCATCTTTTTTATCCATAATAAAAAAATATTAATAACATTGAAAAAAGGGATATTACTCTGAATGGAAAAAAAATATGTTAAAAATGCATGAGAGGGGCAAGTGTTTTTTAATTTTTTGTTGTTGGGTTTTTAAGGGCCCCTGAGAAAAGGGCCCTACATAGTGGGGGGTGGAGCCAGGCAAAAAGAAGCCCCCAACACTAAACAACTTAAACAATGTGTATAATTTATAAATAAAAATATTCAATTTTTAATTTAAAAAAAAGTAATTTTTAATTTTTAGGTATACAAAAAATTCATTTTCTACATAGATTATTTTATAGAGCATTTTGTGTAAAATAAAATAAGATAACCCAAAAAAAATCAAGGGTGACTTTGTATTTCCCTTGGGGGGCCTTTTATATTTACCCCCTTTTTTTTACTTTTATTTCTTACACTTTTTTTTATTTACACTCACCTTGGAGGGGATTTTTAGGTAATTAGTTTGTTTGATGGGGGAGAAGCTGGCGAGATTTTGGGTGGGGGGAAGATACGTGCAGGGGGAGCGTAAGGGTTTATTGGGTGATAAAACATCCAACAAAATTTGGGGAGTTACTTTCAGTCGTTTTTTTATCGATTACTCAAATTAACTTACTTTCTAAAACTAAATTTTTTCTACACTTTACGCTCGTGGTAATATAGTTTATCAATACCCTTTTTTTCTGTAGTATCCTACAATCGTAGAAAATTGAGTCCGCAGAAGGCCATTCTCCCCTCTTTCTTCCCCCCCACTTTGGTAGTTTGCTATGAGTTTTTTCTTTAAAATTTTTTGGTTTCTTTCCTTCTTTACCACAAAAGTTGGGAATAAAAAACTTTTTTGGGCCCTTTTTGGCTTATTTTTCTGTTTTTTTTTTTTTTTTTTTTTCAACAAGGGCGGCCGTTTTCCCAACCCAGGCAGGGTGACCCCAAAAAAGGGAAAAAAAATCCCCCCAAAAAAAAAATACTTTTTTATCATCATTCAAAAACTTTACCCCACTAGCCATTATCACTGTTTTTGCAAAAAAGGGTCTCAGAATACAACAGTCTAGAAGCAGTTACAAGCACTAAAAAAAAAAATGGAATAATACAGAATATATTGCTTTACTCCGGTGGAATCTCCTCCCTGGGGTTGTAAACAAAGGCACAATGGCTTTATGTGGCTCAGGGCCCCACGGACCAATTTGGGACAAAAGTCCTTTAACCCAGTTCTTGGGCGTAACGAAACCAAAATTTTGGGCACAGAAACGGCCGCACCCCCGATTTTGGTGTTACCCGATGCCGACGTTCCCCCAAGGGCCCACTGTAATTTATCATGTAGGCTGCAGTGTTTTTGGAATAACTTGTCTTTTGTAGACCACAGTATCATAGGATAATAGGTCTTTTTAAGTAGGTGTAATGTATTTTCCCCTTGTAGGGAATTTTATTAAGTTTTAAAATACAGTGGCCCCCCCGTTAACAAACTTTTTTCTTTCCCCAGTAGTATGTTCGGTCCCATACTGACCAAATTTTTTTTCCCAAAGGAATATTGTGAAGTAGTTACCCCATTTCAGCCCCCCAAACATACACTAAAAACCCACTTACAAAATTTTAAATATTTTATTATCACCCGGCCGACCCCCACCAAGGCGGGGGCCCAAAAAAGAAAAACTTTCACCACATTCACTCCATCACTGTCTTGCCGAAGGGTGTTTACACTAAAAATTTTTAAACTGAAACATTAACACCCCCCTTCAAGTGCGGGAAATGATTTCCCATCTCCAGGACTCAATCCCCCCTGCCGGTTTCCCTGAATCCCTTCATAAATGTTACTTTGCTCACACTCCAACACACGTCAAGATTTAAAAAACCCTTTGTCCCATTCACTCCTATCAAACACGCTCCGCAGCCTGGGGGAAGTCCAAGCCCCCCCGCACACAAAACCTCCTTTTACCCCCCCCCCCCCAACCCCTTTCCCTACATATACACTTACATAATTGGCGCATTTGGAGGTGATCGTTAAACGGGGGGGCCCCCTTAAGTGGAATCCCAGTGTTTTCTTATTTGGTTCCAGGGTGTTTAAAATGGAAAATTTTAATGTCTGAAAAAGTATTTCCCAGGCTTTAATTATCTGCCTCACACACTGGAGGATGTTGAGCTGACTCTCCAAAAGTCTCCGAGAGTTAGGTCGGTGCCTAAGGTCACTTCAAAGTTGGAAGCTTTTGTACAACTGAATTTTAAACAAGTCATCATGTTTGGACTCTAGAAAAACATCAAAAACCGGTCATTTTTTTTTGAACAAAATTGTTTAACCGGTTGTTCAGGGTCCTTTACATTCAAACACTGAGGTTTCACTGTTTTCCTATTGTCAACCTTCCAGAACTTCTGCTAATTATTCCTTTTTTTTTTTTGCAGCTCATCATTACAGTGTAAGAAGTGCCAACAGCCGAAGTCATAAGTGTATGTAAGGGGCAGACATACAGCGTATATGTGTTATACTCTATATAAATAAATAAATATATATATATATATATATATATATATATATATATATATATAAAATATATATATATATATTTTAATATATACATGTATATATATGTAATATATATATTGCAAACCCTGTTCCATAAAGCACATCTCATCATTACATTATAAGAAAATCTGTCGCCCAGTCATACGAATGTGCGGGTGATGAAAATGTATTAGAGTACTGTGTGTGTGTGTTGTTAGCACTGAGATCCATACACCATATCTTGGTGTCACTCGTACATTGTCAACACAACCAACTTTATGCTCATCTTAAGCTCATGAGCTTTACAACTCACACCTTCAACAGTTTATATATCACATCTTTTAATCCAGATTTTGTCAGGTGCAGCATTAACACCCACTGCAGTAAACATACACTCATTCATTCCATGTACTAACATGGAGTACTGTATGAACAAATTGTGCAGTGAGTTTATCCAGTTGTTGAAGGTGTGCACATTACATGAACTTTGAAGTTTATTTAGCTATTAAGGCTAGTGGACATTCACATGAACGTTCCGATGGTAAGAGTTGCTCAATTCTCACCTTTGTTTATGCAATGTCTTCCTAGGCATTAAGTTGATGATGGTGGTATTGTTTCCTTGGTCAGCAGTTTTGAACTTTTGTTCTGCTGTAATGTTATAGTGGACATTGAGTGGCCTTCATTTTAATGTTCAGTATGAGAATTTTCAGCAATTTATATTGTATTACAGATAAGCAAATTTGCTAAACAAAAGAAACCAAATCATATTCCAGAGTATTCTCAAGGAATTTTCATTAAATATAATATTTTTCTTATTAAAAGAAGATAAAAATGCCATGTGTACAGGATTCTTTGCAAAATTATATGCATATACAGATAAAAAAAAATGACTAAAAAATACTCTGTGGTACATTACATGAAAGGTAAACCATTATCAGTCATTTCATGCTTAATTATTTTACTAATCATTGAGAGCTTTTGAGGAAAATATGAAATATTTGAAGGATTTTGTACTTAGGAATATCCGCTCCTTTAACACTTGAGAATTCATATATTATAGAAACCTTATTGGAGTTAGATTAAAAGATTTTACATTATTTGATGAACTAGCAATAGTTCATGCACAAGAAAAAAAACATATATTCAATGTTATAAATAATCAGTTGAGTCTAATGTATTATCACATTAAATTTCAGACAGAAGAAGAACCCTGTAACTCTTAATTAAAAGAGCTTTCCCAAGATAAACATGTATATCTTAACAAATAATACATAAATAGAAAAAAGAAAATGCTTGTGTTAGTTAATGCAGGTGTGCTAATATTAAGGAGATGAACCATATTGATGTTCAGAATGCTTAAATGACTTCACATAAATCTGTCAAGATATAGCAGAATTACTTCAAAACAAAAAACATATACCATTTATAGTACATATGTAAAATATATTGTACATGAATGCACCTGAGCAGCAAATATGGCTGATCATAAAAGAGCAGAACATACGAGTGTTCATACAGAAGGAAAGCCATATCAGTGTTTAGTGTGTTCAAAAAACTTTGCTCGAAAATCACATCTTGTTGTTCACATGCGAGTTCATACTGGAGAGAAGCCATATCGGTGTACACGATGTCTAAAAACTTTTTCACATAAATCACATCTCACAGCTCATAAGACAATTCATACAGGAGAGAAACCATATTGTTGTACAGTGTGTAAAAAGGGCTTTTCAATAAAAGCAAATTTGGCAACACACATGACAGTTCATACTGGAGAGAAATTATATCGATGTCCAGTGTGTCTGAAAGACTTCTCGTACAAATCATATCGAGCCATTCACATGAGGTATCATACAGGAGAGAAACCATTTCAATGTTCTGAATGTCTGGCAGACTTTTCACGAAAATCGCATCTAGAAACACATAAGAAAGTTCATTCAGGGGAGAGACCTTATCAGTGTTCTGTGTGTTTAAAAGATTTTTTATTAAAATCACATCTAGTAAGTCATGGAACGGTTCATTCAGGGGAAAAACCATATCAGTGCTCTGAGTGTTTAAAAAGCTTTTCACGAAAGCCAGATCTAGTGAAACATGGAAAAATTCATACAGGAGAGAAACCATACCAGTGCGCAGAATGCTTAAAAAACTTTTCACGGAAATCTGATCTAGATATCCATGCAAGGGTTCATTCAGGAGAGAAACCATATCAGTGTGCAGAGTGCTTAAAACCCTTCTCCCAGAAGTCACATTTAGCAAAACATGTAATAGTTCATACAGGAGAAAAACCATACAAGTGTGCTGAGTGTCCAAAAGCCTTTTCATATAAATCTTCTTTAGCAAAACATAGGAAAGTTCATCCAGTAGATAATATTGACTATAAGAATATTTAAAAAGTTTTTAACTAGTTTGAATCAAATAACACATACATTTAGTGTTAGTATAACAACATTGTGGTTTAAAGCTTTAGATTAATATTAATTTACTCTAGAATTACACTTGAGGATTCTTAAGGGATAAAATTTTTGATGTTCCAGTTGTTAAATAAGATCACATGTGGCCACTGTTTTATATAAGCCATTTCTTTGAAAGATAAACACTATCTCATAAAACTTGATAATATCCATGATGAACCAAATGTCTTGTTTTGAATTCAGTTTTATTTTTTTATTTTTTTTAGGCTAGTTATGACTTTCTTCAGTTACAGTATTGTGACTTGCATTCTTCAGATTATACAGTGGTACCTTGGAATACGAACAGCTCAAAACTCAAACAATTATGTAAGTGCTTTTGTAAGTGTATTTTCGGGAGTCTGAAACGGATTAATCTAATTTACATTATTCCTTATGGGAACAAATTCGTTCAGTATCGGCACTCGAACAGCCTTCTGGAACGAATTAAGTTCGTATCCCGAGGTACCACTGTTTAAGTTTATTGAACACAAAATTCTTTTAAGGTGAAAAAGAATTATAAATATAAGTTTTGAAGAAACATTAATGTAACTCAAAATAACCTACTAGTTCACAGGTTTACAAAATGTAATGCTGGAAATTTGGAGAGATTGGGACAGTAGCAAATTGGTTAAGTGGCAGAATAAATTGCAGAAAAAAAAGAGGATCTGGAAGAATTGCTAGAATAAGTGGACAGAAGATTATAAAACCATAGTGCATGTATTTACACATGCTTTCCCTGTGATTGGTTTCCTACCCTCACAGCCCAACCTGAGGCTAGGCCTCCTTGTTAAGATACTCCAGATAACCCAGGAAAGTCAGTGTGTCATTGAGGATTGTCTGTCTTATTTCCATTGGGAAATAAGACAGACAAATCTTTTCCCTCAGGCTGTGACCCACATTGGTCGACTAACACCCAGGTACTTACTTCCTTGCTAGGTGAACGGGGACAACAGGTGTAAGGAAACACGCCCAGTGATTCTACCCTTGCTGGGGTTTGAACCACCAACACTCAGTGTGTGAAGCGAGAACATTGCCTACCAGGCCACAGGACACCAACTTATCATTCAGGCTATTTGTTCTAGTAACCTCCAAGCCATCACAATCTGGCAGATCTGACACATGTAGAAGGAATTTGTTCAGCTTCTTGGAAACTTTATTTTCATTGCAGCAGTATTTCTAATATCTGTTTTTAATGTGATGAACATTCTTCACCTATGCATGTTGACACAATGTTCTTGAATTGGACCCACCCACCTTCCCTAGTCTTTACTGTATTTATTTCACTATTTATTCCATGTCTTTCACTGCAGTAAGTTGTAACAGCAGTGTTAAGGTTAAGGAACATTTCCTCTAGTACCATCCATATGGAGTTAAAGATTTATTTGTAAACAGGGAATTTTGTTGAAGGCAGCAGGTCATTTATTAAGAGGCCAGGGGCACTAATGACAGGGTAACAGATGGGGACATTAATGACAGGGTCACATATGGTGCACTAATGACAGGGTCACATATAGGGCACTAAGAACAGGGTCACAAATGGGGCACTAATGAAAGGGTCACATATGGGGCACTAATGACAGGGTCACATATAGGGCACTAATGACAGGGCCACATGAGGGGCACTTATGACTGGATCACTGATGACAAGAGCACTTATTATTAGGCATTTATGATGTAGGCACATGAAAGGTGCACTTATGATGGGGCATTTATGAAGCGAGCACTAATGATATAGGCACACAAAAATGCACTTATGATGGAGACACTTACGGTGGGAACACTTATGGTAGGGAATTAATGATTGATGGGACACTTTATGCGAATGGGACATGTATGATGGAAACACTTATGATGGGACACATGATTGAAACTTGTGGGACATTATGATGGAGACACTTACGGTGGGAACACTTATGGTAGGGACACTTATGATGGGGACACTTATGGTGGGGACATGTATGATGGAAACACTTATGTTGGGGACACTTATGATGGAGACATGTATGATGGAGACACTTATGGTGGGGACACTTATGATGGAGACATGTATGGAGACACTTATGGTGGGGACACTTATGATGGAGACACTTATGATGGAGACACTTATGGTGGGGACACTTATGATGGAGACACTTATGATGGACACACTTATGGTGGGGACACTTATGGTGGAGACACTTATGGTGGGGACACTTATGGTGGGGACACTTATGATGGGACACTTATGACGGGGACACTTATGGTGGGGACATGTATGATGGAAACACTTATGGTGGGGACACTTATGATGGGGACACATATGATGGAAACACTTATGGTGGAGATATTTATGATGGAGACACTTATGATGGAGACATTTATGATGGAGACACTATATGGGCATTTGATGGAACACAAACAATTATGATGGAGATACAGTGGACCCCCGGTTCGCGATGCTATCGGTATCCGATAAATCCGGTAACCAATGCATTATATCGCCAAAAATTGGCCTCGGTTCCCGTTACAAAACCCGGTATGAGATGCGATTTGTACGAGACATGTCCACGTGTGCCCTGAACTTCCCCGTGTGTACCAGTGTTTACAAGCCAGCCAGTGTGCACGCATCTAAAGATTCATTCGGTACATTCCATATTATCCATATTATCACTGCTTTTGGTGCTTGTTTCTGCAAAATAAGTCACCATGGGCCCCAAGAAAGCTTCTAGCGCCAACCCTTCAAGACCAAGGGTGCTAATGACTATTGAAATGAAGAAAGAGATAATTGCAAAGTACGAAAGTGGAGTGCTTGTGTTGGAGCTGGTCAGGTTGTATAGTAAACCCCAATCAACCATCTCTACTTTAGTGAGCAGGAAAACGGCAATCAAGGAAGCTGTTCTTGCAAAAGGTGCAACTGTGATTACGAAACAGCGACCACAAGTGTTAGAAAATGTTGAGAGACTGTTATTGGTGTGGATTAATGAAAAACAGATAGCAGGAGATAGCATCTCTCAAGCGATCATTTGTGAAAAGGCTAGGCAGTTGCATGATGATTTGGTAAAGAAATTGCCTGCAACTAGTGGTGATGTGAGTGAATTTAAGGCCAGGAAAGGTTGGTTTGAAAGATTTAAGAATCGTAGTGGCATACATAGTGTGATTAGGCATGGTGAGGCTGCCAGTTCAGACCACAAAGTGGCTGAAAAATATGTGCATGAATTCAAGGAGTACATAGAGGCTGAAGGATTGAAGCCTGAACAAGTGTTTAATTGTGACGAAACAGGCCTGTTTTGGAAGAAATTGCCAAGCAGGACCTACATTACTCAGGAGGAAAAGCTACCTCAAGTCCTAATAGAGGGGGATTCCCCTTCTAAACAATAGGTTCAACACTTTACCCTCCTCCCATCCCATCAAACATCACCAGATCTTCATTAAAGGTAAGTGTCAATTATTCTATTGTTATTATTCTATTGTTATTGTTGTTATTGTAATTATTCTGTTGCATTACACTTAATATTTCATGTGGTAAAAGTTTTTTTCATACTTTTCGGTGTCTTGCACGGATTAATTTGATTTCCATTATTTCTTATGGGGAAAATTGATTCGCTTTCTGATAATTTTGGTTTACGATGAGCTCTCAGGAGCGGATTAATATCACGAACCGGGGGTCCACTGTACTTATGATGGATATACTTATGATGGAAACACTAATGATAGAAACACTTATGATGGAGATACTTATGATGGAGACACTTACGATGGACACAATTATGATGGATACACTCGTAATGATCCTTCCTTAACCCCTTGACTGTTCCAACCCAAAATCCTGAGGTGTCTCCTGGTGTTGCAAAATTCCCCCCCTCCCAAAAAAAAAAAAAAATAAAAAAAAAATTATTTTTTCTTATGAAATGATAGATAATCTTCTCTCGATTGTAATGGCACCAAAAGAACGAAATTTGATGGAAAACTGACGGAATTACGCTCTCACAAAGTTAGCAACCTCGGCAGTATTGATGAGCTGGCGATTTTGCCCACTTTGAGCCCTATTTTCGGCTAATTCCATTGTTCCAGTCGATCAAACTCATAGCTATTTCTTCAGAACTCCATTTGTTCTATCGGCCGAGTACAGGAAACTGCCCATTTACTGATTTCAACTACCCAATAACATGGTCAGTTAGAGACTGCTATGTAGTTATTAACAGTTAAATTCACCAGAAATTATTAGATTAAGTTAGGTAAGGTTAGTCAGGAAACAAGAAAAGAGTTTTCTGACATGGGTCTTAGTCATGACGATCCACCATTGAAGTTTTTGGTCATCTGACCGAGAGCTTCTGGCTTACCTTTCCATGTCTTTAAAAATTAGGGTTTATTATTTATGATTTGGCATATAATCCTTCTGCTGATCCCCCCCATCCCCCCCCCACAAAAAAAATGAGGCTGGAGGCAGTGATGTAGTGTCTAAGGGCAATGTGTGGTGTCAATATTATGCAGAGGATTCGTAGTGTGGAAATTAGGAAGAGGTGTGGAATTACTGAAAGTACTATTCAGAGGGCTGAGGAGAGGCTGTTGAGGTAGTTTGGCCATTTAGAGAGAATGGACAAAATAGAATGACTTAGAGGGTGTATAAATCTGCAGCTGAGGGGAGGAAGGGTTGGGGTCATCCTAGGAGAGGATGAAAGGAGGGGGTAAAGGAGTTTATTTTTTTTTTTTTTTGTGCAGAGGGCTTAGATATACAGCAAATGTGTGAGCGTGTTAAATAGGAGTGGAGATGAATGGTTTTTGGGACTTGACGAGCTGTTGGAGTGTGAACAGGTAAATATTTTGTGAAGGGATTAAGGGAAACCGGTTAGCCAGACTTGAGTCCTGGAGGTGGGAAGTACAATGCCTGCACTTTAAAGGAGGGGTTTGGGATATTTGCTGTTTGGAGTGACATCTAAACTGTTGTATCTGTGTGCCTTTGGCAAGACAGTGATAGTATGAAACTTTCTTTTTCGGGTCACCCTGCCTCGGTGGGAGACAGCTAGCATGTTAAAAACACTGTAAGGTTATCCCACAAAGAGACTATCCTGGTGAGTGGAGTTTTGTAGACATTACCTATTGCTACTGGGACACTTACATTTTTAGTTTTAAATTGAACAAATATGTAGAATGAAAGGGGGTAAAGCAGCTGGAACTGATGGGATCATGACAGAAATGTTAAAAGCAGGGGGAAATATAGTGTTGGAGTGGTTGGTATTTTTGTTTAATAAATGTATGAAAGAGGGGAAGGTACCTAGGGACTGGCAGAGAGCATGTATAGTCTCTTTATATAAAGGGAGGGGGACAAAAGAGATTGTAAAAATTAAAGAGGAATAAGCTTACTGAGTATACCAGGAAAAGTGTACGGTAGGGTTATAATTGAAAGAATTAGAGGTAAGACAGAATGTGGGATTGGGGGATGAGAAGGAGGTTTGGTGGGTAGGGGATGTGTAGATCAATGTTTACTTTGAAGCATATATGTGAACAGTTTTAGAAAAAGGTGGGGAAAAATTTTTATTGCATTTTGGATTTAAAAAAGGCAATGATGAGTGGATAGGGGGCAATGGGGCAGATTTTGCAATTTGGCTTAGACAGGGATATGTAATGTCCCCAGGGTTTGTTTAATATATTTTGATGGGGTTGTAAAGAAGTAATGCTAGGGTGTTCGGGAGGGGGTGGGATTAAATTAGGGGGAATCAAATACAAAAGGGGAATTGACCAGTTGTTTTTTTGCTGATATACTTCTTTGGAATTCTAAAAAAAAATTGCAGAGGTTGTGGTGAGTTTGGGAGTGTGTGTGTAAGGTAAAAAAGTTAAAAATGAACATAGAAAAGTTTTAAGGTGTTTTGAGGGTAAAAATGATTTAGTAACAGGGAATCTTGCTATCCTACTTACATTTTGGTCAACTTCACAGCCACGACATGCATAAAAATTTTATACATAATCTAGGTTTTCTCCTTTTTCAAAAATATTTGTTCTTCTTTTTTTTTTCTATTGTCCATGGGGAAGGGGAAAAAAAAATTTTTCCCCCGTAAGCCATGTGTGTAATATGAGGCGATAAAATGGGGGAGAAGGGCTAATAACCCCTTTCCTTTAAAAAATTTACTAAAAAATAGAAGAAGAAAAACTTTTTAAAAACTGGATGCTTGAAGTGCGTGGATGTGTGCAGATGCAAGAAACAGATGTTTCTGATGTTATGAATGAAAAGAAGTTGGAGCCGGCCCCAAGCGAAAAAAGCGAAGGGGGGGAGGGGAGTTTCGGGGGGGGGGGAATAAATGGGATAAATTGGAGTATCTAAGAGAGTTGAGCTAAGGAAGGGGTAGCAAAAAGTTGAAGGATCAGTTAGGAAAAGAAAAAAGAATATGTGTAAATTCAAGGAATATGTGGATTAAGAAAGGTTGGATGCGAAAAGGGGTCATAATAAGCGGTATGCACCCGGAGGAGAGGGAATGTGAGAGAGGGATTTTGGGGTGTTTAAAGGGTGATAGGAACCTTTGAACCAAATGAGAGAGTAATTGTGGTGGGGACCGAATGCTAAGAGGGAAAAACTTTTAGAGAGGGGTGTGGTAGGTAAATTTGGGGGTGCAAGGTGTAAATGATAATGGAGCCCTTTTGATTTAAAATTTGTATAGAAAGGGGTTTGTTATAGTTTAAAACTATTTTTAAAAAAAAAGAGGATAAAAAATATACAAGATTGATGTAGGGAAAATGCAGTAGTTTGTTGGATTTGTATTAGCAGATAAAAGATGTGGTAGATTCAGGGTGTAAT